GGGGCAGCGCTGCGGGCAGGGGCGCAGGGGGCGCTCTTCAGGAGCTATTTGTCTTAAGGACGTTAAAAAAAAAATACTTCCTCCTCCCCCACCCCTTTTGTCCCTCATTAGGTAGCTTTCTCTCTCTCTCCTCCCGAAACGTATAGAAAGTGCCCCCCCGACCCGCCGCGCCGCACCCCGCCTCGAGGCCGGGGGAAGGCATGTGGGCAGAGAGCCTGGGCGGCGAGGGGGCGAAGCGTGAGAAATAGCTCCCAGCTCTGCGCGCTCCCCTCCCCCAGCACACACTCGGGAAGTTTAAAGAGCCGGTTCGACCCGCTTTCGAGCTCGCTCCCAGTTGGCCAGTAGTGTGGATAGGGTTGGCCCGGCCATCCTCGCCTCCACACCCACCGCGACCCCGGCCCCCTGCTTGGCGCCCTTCCCCCTCTGCACAGGGGGCTTCCGGAAGTACGCGGGAAGACCGCGGCTCGGTCCCCTCCCCCATCACCACACCCAGCCCCCAAATCCTCCGGCTCCCGGTCCGAGCCGGGATGAAACCCGCCAGAGAAAAGCGAGCCGCGGGCAAATTGTTCGCGGCAACTTCTGCCTTCTCCGCGGAGCACCTCTCCCCGCCCTTCGCCAACCCCTCCCCGCCCTGCGCGCCATCAGGCACTGCACGTCTACAGTCCACAGCTGCGTTATGAGGGGGAGGCACAAAAAGGATCTTGTTTTCAAAAGTCTCACTCAGGTTTGGGGGAGGAACTAGAGAAAAGAGGAAGCAAGGCCTGTCTTCGCCGGGAATTCGGGTTTTAACCGGCTGGAGGGGCGACAGGTCGGTACACAGTGCTCTCAACTCTGGAACCCTAGCCACTGACGCTGGAGCGGCAGCCCTCGCGCCCGCGCTCTCCTGGTCCCCCAAGGGACCACAGGGGAGTCGGCCAGCGTTTCCGCCCCAGACCTAGGGTCTCCTCCGCTGAGCCGCCAACTCGCATAAAACAGTTTGAAAGCGAGGGAGCCAGAAATAAAAAGGAGCGTTCGAGTAACCCACCCTGGCCTTCCCCCTCCTCGGAGGTGGGCTTTCGCCGAGCCTCCCAGTTCCCAGCCGTGTAAGTTTCCTCCGGCCCTACTCGCGCCGTTGCCCAATCAATAACGGCGACGAGAAGGCAAACTCCCATCCCGAAGCTGCGTGTTCTCTAAGCCCACATCAATCTGGACCCAGCCAATACCCACCACAGGCACCAGCTCCGGGCAGCTCGCGTCCTGACAAAGTTTCCCGTGCCCATTTATTAGCCAGGCGCCGAATGGCTGCCGAGGAGCTCACCCCAGAGAAAAACCGGCCGGGGGTGCGGACTGGGGGGACGCCAGGACTCGAAGGATGGCATCTTAGAGAGGCCGGAAGGAGCAGGGGTGAGGGGGGACCGGGACGTTGCCTTTGGGTAACTTGCAACAGCGATCGCTCGAGGTGGGGAGGCGCGGGGATTATCTGTGCCTTTGCACGTTAGAAAATCCCTCCCCCTTCCTTCCAATTTATCTTCCCTTCGGAAGGAAAGGAAGAAACATCAGCATCTGGCCTGAAGGTGGGGTGGAAAGAGGGAGGGAGAAAGAGGAGAAGAGGAAGGGAGGCAGAGAAAGGGAGGGAGGGAGAGAAAGGGCGCGTTCACGAACACTACAAAGTTACAAATATGGCTCCCCCGTCTCTCGCCTCATCACTGCAAAGAAATGAAGACGCACTTTAAACTCGAGCCATTCCCAACTCCACTGCAGCCCCCTCCCCATGCGCTCTCCCCGGGGGCCTCGGCCCACATTTATCAGAAACTAAACCGGACTCGCAAAGCCCAAAACTTATTGTGTGTGCGCGAAAGAGAGAAAGGGAGGGGGAAGGCGCGGGAGGGGGGCGGAAGGGGAGATTCATTTATAAAACATAAACCCCCTTTTTTGTTGTTGAATCCGGGAGGCAGCCCCCTTCCTCCTCCTCTCTCGTTAATCTTTCCCCCAGACAGAGTCATGGGAGCAGCGAGCTCAGAGGGTGATTTTGCCTCATTCTCTCCGACCCAAACGCGTGCGCCCGCTGGCCCCCGATGGGTGCACACTCGCACGCACACTCTCGCACCCACACTCGCACACGCGGGAGCACACGCACAGGTAGTCACACACACCAAGGGCAGCGGCGGCGGCAGCAGCCGGAACATGCTCGGATGGCATTTCAACCCCCCAACCTTGCAATTCATTTGCAGTCCGACCCCCAAATCCACACCTCCCGGGCGCCCCCCCCTCAAAAAAGTGCCTCCCCGCAACGTACATACACATACACACAAAGTAAGAGAATGGACCGACAGAGATATTTTTGGCAAATGCTCACATCAGAGGGCGTCCTGTTCCGCAGCTCTAAATGAATCCGTTTGTCCATATCCATCTCTCGCGCTCTCTTTCTGCAGAGGCTCCCGCGCCGGCGGAATTCAATCAATAAACCCCGAACCCACGGCCGCGCGTTTTAGGACTTTGAAGGCTCAACCAGCTCCGCTCGGTCCTCGAGCCCCCAGCACCCGCGGCGCACACAAACCTGATCACCGTGGAGGCGGGATCTGCGGCCTTGTGGATGAGCGACAGCAACTTAAGCCAATCGTCGCCGAGGGTCTCCGGGCAACAGCCAGTGGCAGTGGCAGCGGGGGGGGAAGGGACCAATGGGCGGGCTGCGCAGTCGGCCAGGGAGGCTCAGCCATTTGGTTGTGGTGCCGGAGACGGACCCCTTTAGATTTCGGGGCGGCTGAGGAGCGCGGTGGCTGCTCCGTGGCTGAGCGAGGGGGGTGGGCGGAATGGCGGGGGAAGGGAAGGTGACTGCCTGGAGGGCCGAGCTGCCCGGCCTCGCCAACCTGCCGCCGCCTCAGCGTTTGGCCGGGGGCGGGGCCGCAGGTGCGTTATACGAGGGGGAGGGGCGCGGCCGGAGGGATCGGGTCGGGGTCCTAGCCCAGCCCAGGGCTTTTCTGGGCCGCCCTAGGCCTGCAAGCGACGCCCACTCGGGTTGCGGAAAGACGCGGGCAGCGAGAGGTCTGGGGGCGGCGGGCTGCTGGGCGAGCGGGCGGATGAAAGGCCTGAAAAGAGGGGGAGGGGTCAAGGGTGCAGTGGGGGGAGGGGCTGGTCATTTTTCTGGGTCCCGCGGTCCGAACTGGTGGAGCGTGGCAACTGCCCCCCACCTCTTCCTCGGGCTCCCACTCCTGCCAGTGGCTCACAACCCGCGCGCCCTTTCGCCTCTGGTCTCTTCCTAGTCAAACCGCGGCCATCGCCGCCCCTCTAATAAGTAAATAAAAGCAAGATGCGTCCACCTTTGGTTGACTTACCTCGTGGCCTCGACCGTCTGCACCGAGGGGCATTTCAGTTTGCTGTCATATGAGGTCAGCTTGGCCGGAGTGATGACCTAGAGGCACCCAGAATCCTGTTTAGTCAATAAACGAATGAAGACTATAGATTAAGAATTGTTGCTGAATGTATTGAATATTAATTAAAAAGTAGGAAAGGAAGGTGCTAATTCCTGGTTTTCTGGACCAATTTATGGGCTTTATAGAGCTAGTGAAAGGAAACGGCGCAGTTTATTCTAATCGTCCACCTGAGTCATATGTTTCAATTTGGGTTGCCAAAGAGGCTCTGTTTAGAGCTCTTTCCCCAGGTTTTTCTGTTTGCTTGCTTTGTTTTTCGGATCACATTACTTGTAGAGACCTTAAAGCCATAATTCCCACTGGGTTACCAACTTCTATGGGCAGGCCTAGGACCTTGTCATGTACTAAGTTGGCTGCCCGTGGCTGTTAGTAAATCATGGGGATTGTTGTCAACAAGGACAGATACATCTTTATTCTTCCATACAACTGTTTTTCAATGCTTTTCTACACGTCTACACTTCCCCATACACTCTAAGGTAGTTTTTTCTTTTTGGATACATGTGTCTATTTTTCAGGGACGTGGGTTCAAGGAAGAGATAAACCAGTATGTATGCTGCAAATTTGAAATGTTATGTAACACTAATACAGTTTCATTCTTGGGCATATAAAGTTTAGGAGGAAATAAAAAGTGACAGAATGTAAATAAAACATACAAAAATGCTTACACTGTGGAAGAAACTAGGAACTTTTAATATTGTAACCTGATGGACTGCAAACATAAAATCCTGCAACTAATAAGCATTTTACTCTAAATTCTTTCAAATAAAATAAATGGAATTTGAAAAGTAATGTTTATTTTTGAGAAGCTGGGAAATGGAGAATAAAAATGGAAAGTCATTGTTTTATTTCAAATGGGTATAAATAGTATAGTTTGACTTGCTGACTGCTGACATATTGTCTTCCTGTTTTGTTAAATCTTATTGAAGTCAATTTGTGTAGTTGGAATTTCTTAAAATTGTATTGGTTTCATTATAAAAAAAATAGAGGGACCCCACATTCCTTCCCTTTGCTCGAGTCAGTTGTTATTTCTGGATATGATATTTCAAAACAGCTCTTCATCATAAGCACATTAAGTCAATATATGTAGAATCTGTGTAACATAGGAGTCCTGAAGTTTATGTTCTCTGATGGTAAATGCTCATCTTCAATTTAAATATTTAACCCCAATTAGGTCTACACCTCTAGCAATGTGATATAATGGGACAGTGCCCTTCTAGTGGCATAATCCCTTAAAAGCCAACCAATCAAATGCCGGGATGTTCCTCATCCAGCTCTGCTAAACAGAAGCAAATAGCTCACTTTATCATACAGAGACTGAAGAGGATGACTTAGAAGCCCAACCCCTCATTAAGGAGAGTGGACAGATACAAATTAAAACTAGGATTGAAAAAAATTATGGCTTGATCACTAAGTCAAAATATTAAATTTAACAGTTGTTTTTAGATGCACCTTACTTTTATACATTTTTATAACAACTTTTGGTGTTAGAAAATGGAAATAAGTTTTTGCCAGATGTCAATCATTACAGACGTTGCAATAACCAAAAAGTGTATATAACCAATTGACATAGTTAATGTCCCATCTTTCCAACATACTTTGAAAGAAGAGACTTCCTCTCAAATAGATTTATTTGTAGTTTATTTTTAAGGAAATTTTAATGTTTTTTTTTTAATTATCAAAGGAAATAGGAATATAACTAAGCTAAAGTTCAGCTTTTTGCCCCCACACTACTTGATCAAACCAAAAAAAAAAAAACTCATATACCTTATTTTACGGAGTTGTTTCTTATATTTCATTGCATGTTATAGTAGTAAATCAATATTCTGAATGGCTTTGCATATCAGAAGATACAGTAAGAAAAGAATCCCCCTATCAAGGAATTTTGGCTGAATTTGGATGTGAGTGGGAACAGAATGAGTTCCTAACTGCTGAGTGATTATACAATGGCGGTTAGGTTGCGAAAGATGGAGAGTCTGTAAACTTCTGGAACTGGATTTGATTCACACTGAGAAGAATAAAAGATAAAATTCAAAGGTTTGAGCCTTTAGGGAGAAAGATGGACTTCGAGTATGGAAAAATTATCTTTTTTGCCTTCCAGAATATTTTCCATCAAGAGCCATTCCAAACAAATAAGCAGCCTATCTTGTTCTCTAAGAGATATGAGCAACGTATGTCCTTAGCCTCTTGATACTTGTTGGAAAGTAGTTTTATAAATAACCTGGGTTGGTCATGCTGCCATTTTAGCTCATTTGTCCTTGTTTGGTTTTAAAAGATGGAGACCCTCTGGTTAGCATCCTTTTTATGAGTTAAACTAATATATTCATAGTTCAGCTTTTTGTTCTTCAGCTTGAATCACATATACTGGAACCTTGCCATAATACTTCTTCACCTACATCAATGTTTTGCTGTCGGACCCCAAAAGACAATGATATGGAAAGACTCCAGCTTAATTATGTTCTCTTTTGTCCTATATAAATAGGACATGTAGAAATGTAGATTCTTTTGAAATCCATGGTAACAAATGTGAGACTACTACAGCATTTTGATTTGAATAGCAAAGGAATGTTGATGCCTAGGCTCTAAAAAGTTAATTATTCATACCTGTTATTTGCTTAATAAAGCATTAGATGGTTTTAGTTTTTAATTATTGAATAGTTACCTTATCAGTGAGCTGGTCATAGAGAAAAAGCACCGTTAGGTGAAAATAGTCATGTGATTTAAAAAATTAATAGTAAAAATCTTAAAAGCAGCTTAAAGATAGTTTATTTTGAAAAGTAAAAAAAACAAACAAACACCTGCACACTTGTTTGGAAATTACTAGAAATTCTGTGAATCCATTTCTTAAATTTATCAAAGAAAATTTTGTGGTAGCAATAAGAGAAAAGTTTACCATTCACCAGGAAGAAAAACAGAGCCATAAGCTCTTGTTTTTAGTATTTAAATATGGCTATAAAGAAAAAATTCAATGCTTTAAAGGCAGATAACAGAATGAGGGGCCATAGAACAAGACTGACTAAAGGCAATCTAGGTTGGAAAAATAAAAATGCAATTAATTTAGATGCTACTAATTTGTTTTAGTGCATCTGGGGTTGAAGTTTACCTCTCTGAAGGAAAGGGTACTTAAGTCTATTAAGATATGAGATAGAGAACAGACTTTCTAAGAATTTTTATTATAGTTACTATTTGCAAATAGTAATTATAATTTTAAGCTATATATATGATAAAATTGTTCTCTCAAATAATCTACTTTGAAATAGTTCTTATTTGTACCTAGAAGTAATTCTGTATTTTTAAATATATATTCTACAGCTCTTCTTGAGTTAGAGATCAACAATGCATTCTGAGTAATTAGCAATTTTTAAATGTATTTCTAGTTGAAATAGTAGGTCCTCGGGACAGTATATCTATAACCTAAACTTTCTCTAGAAATTCTAAATTCTAGCAACTTGAATATAAAAATTATATATTCATTTGCACATGACCAAATGAGATAGCCACATTAGGTATTTGGAAACTTTTATCCAGTAGAGGAACATAAGCTTTACTGTGCCAGATTGGTTTTTTTGTCCCAAGAATTTACCTGAAATCATTTTATATACCTTATACAGATATTTATTTAAAGGCAACTCAAGTAAGTGTGGGGAAGCAGTACTACTACAGGATGAGGCAGAATAGTGGGCAAATAATAAGCTCATTGATTACAATGCGATGGCAGTTTTTATAAAAGCTAAAGAAACTATATTCATATGCCTAGGAAAAAAGTCTGGGAGAGTGTGCACCAGAAAAATGTTTTAAGTTTGTTTTTACAAAGGTTCTCTATGAGTGATGGGGTTAATAGTGTTTTTTGCTTTGTCTATTTTCTGTTGATAAATAATTTCTGCAATAAGTTATTTTTAGTGAAAATGTATAGGTATAGCAGGTTTGGGGGGGGGTGTTTGTGCTAGCTGGAATTTTTGATTGCAGGTAGCAGAAACTTTCCCTGACCAATGCAAGCAAAACACAATTTCTTATAATGCTATCACAGAACCAAAGAACAGTCCAGGAAAAGAGCAGGAAATGGAAAGGTGAGCAGCCTGGAGCAGTCAAGATGGTGCTCCAGGTATAGTCTGCAGAGGACCCCACAACCTGGAAGTCATCTCTAAGCTGTGGACTCTACTCCCCTCCATTGCTACAAAAGATCTCTCAGGAGCCTCTGTTTTGCATCACGCCCTCAAGGTTCAAAGCCCTCGGCAGGAACATGTGCAGATATCCCAGCTGTCGGGAAATGATTGCCTCTTTTAGCTTCTATGGTGGGATATGTGACACTGCCTCCCATTTATTTTAGGATTCTGCATCCTCCCCTGCCCCCAGCCAAAAAAAAAAAAAAGAAAAAAAAAAATTCTGATGCTAAGTCAACAAAAACAAAATCCATTAAAGTGTTCCGATTAAACAATACTGTGAAGGTTTTCTAATGATCCAAATTAACCTTTGTCTTAACTCCTGCTCCCAACTACTTACTAGGAAGAGACTTGCTATGGTCTGAATGTTTTTATTTGTACCCCACCCTCCCCACTCAAATCAATATGTTGAAATCCTAATCCCCAAGGTGATGGTATTAGGAGGTGGGGCCTCCTAACAGGAGGCAACTAGGTCACGAACCCTCATGATTGAGATTAGCACCCTTATTAAAGAGGCCCCACAGAACTCCCTAGCCATTTCACCATGTACGGATACAGTTAGAAGTCTGCAACCTGAAAGAGGGTCTTCACCCAACCATGCTAGCCACCTAACCTTGGACTTATAGCTTCCAGCCCTGTGAGAAATAGTTTTTAAATTTATAAACCACCCGATCTGTGGCATTTTGTCACAGCAAACCAAACAGACTAAGGACTGCATCACCTATTTAGGATCCACCAGAACAGCTAATATCTGAAGTTCATAATTTTCTTTCAAATGCTTCTTTTTCCAAATCCTAGGCTAGAAGAATCAATATATTATTGTTGATGTCAATGATAACAAGGCAGAGCTGATAGTAACTTTGAGACTTTGAGAAGAAAGATCCCCAATAGAGATATATTTGATTTTAAATTATAAGAAATTTAGCCCTGAGGAATACACTAAAGATAGAATAATCTACATATTATATTTCATGAATAAAAGCAGATATCTCTAGTTATCAAGTGATAGGACATCTTGAGTAGTGATGTATTACTGCTGATGGGTTTCTATCTGCCACTATGAGCACATCAGGCTCAAGTGCAGAACTAAGCTGAAAAGTTGGATATGTAGTAAAAATTTATTGGAAGTAGGCAAGTTGTCATAGGCAAAGTATGGGTTCATAAAAGGATGCAGTCATTTTAAGGACGATTTTGAAGAAAAAAATGCTGGTGGTGAAAAATGCAAAAACCACAAACACATCAAAGAGGCCCATATTCTTAGGAACAAAGAGGAAGGTTCGTAAATGATCTGCTTATAGAAAACATTAATTCTGAGATGTTGTCCTCTTTACTCTTAGGCCCCCGTCACTTCAGGTCACATAGCTTAGATTGCTTTTCAGCTAGAAACAGCAAATAATACCCTTGCAAGGACTCTGAACAATGTTATAGAAATTCAACTGTTTCCTAGTTTTATTTTTATAACTATTAAAGCGTAGTTTAACTATTACAGGAATAGAAGTTCCTTATAAATGGCAATAACTTCTCTCCAGACATGCAGTGCTAAAGATTCTGTTCATTGATACACAAAACGTTCTTCATGACCAAGTGTTTTATTTGTTAGAATTTAACTTTATCTCAAATGATTTAATCCAAATCATGGCAGGCCGCTAATTGTTCAACAAAATATATTTCCTCTTCTCCCTGGACACAGAATCTGACTGTGCTTCCCAGCTGCCCTTGTAGTTAGATTGGGTCATAAGACAGTTCTAGACATTGGAGTGGAAGTAGAAGGATGTTTGCCACTTGGAGGCCTGAAAGTGACAGAATGACTTTGGAAACTATGTGTTTGTTGTTCATGAAGCTGGAAATGCCCTTGGC